AGAAACAGATGACGATTATAGCCAGGATTCAAAAGTTTGTATGCAATGCCTACAGTATATATCCAGAAGAGAAAAAGATATCTACAACGTAACATGCCAACATTGAACATTCTTAGGAGAAATATATTTTCACTGAAGTCCAACAATGGGAGAAGTGAGTTAAGGTCCAACAATAAGGCAATCTTAATTTTATTCCATGCGTAGTCAGATGAAAATCCTATTAACACAAACAAATAAAGATATGAAAATTTTGGGAAGGGATGATTTCTTGATCAGTGAACACAGAATACTGAAGTGCACACAATCAACAAAATGCATCTTAACTGAAAATGATAGTTATTGTGATACACAGAACAATTAGAATTTTAAATGTAAGGGTTGATAAACATGCCTATCATTAATCTTGCTTCTTCTACGTTGCTCCGTTGCTGAGTGTTTTGAACGTGGTGTGTTAGGCTTTTGATCTGTGAGCTTTCCTTCAACTTTGACAGACAAATTACCTGTCATATAATAAGCTATTTAGGCTACAAAAGGGGAAACAAAGGATGGAGAGAACAATTATTACACACACAAATAAAAAGACCTTTTGGGTGAGGTGTAGACTCTTTCTTAACAGCAAACTCTTCATCCTCGTCGTCATCATCCTCTTCTTGGTCATTAGTTGCTGATGTCATCATATTCATGAAACTCTGGTTCTTCTGAGATGATGATGGCCTGAGAAATGACAACCAATTTCCAATTGTCAATGAAAAACTCTCAAGGACATCAACGAATAGAGTAACATGCACAAATTGACTGAAAAATCCCTTACTGAGTGGACAAGAAAGAGCTGAAGGTTTGGGAATTGTGATTCCGGTTGGAAGATGACTGTGATGGAGGTTCCAACGCTGTCATCCATTGCCCTCCCACTCCATTCATACCTGATTCTGTCAAACCCATATTCTCAGCATCAAAGTTAAACTTACACTTAAATACTAATTATAAGATTTGGTATCTATAGACGATGAGTCGTAAATTTACCTCTCAGGATATGTCTCTCAGCAGCAATATTCTCCTTCCCTGTCTGTCCCTTTTTTACACCAGATTCGTCCCACAGCGTGAAACCGCTACCAGTGTAAGAAGCAGAGTTTTGGTTTTCATCACTCCTTGTGGTACTACTTGCCTGCGCCATGAATAAGCTCCCTTCTGGCTTCAAAACTCTTTGATTGAAATAAGAAATGCTATATGTACCAATGCCACCAGGAAGAACATGCTCCACCGAGGGAGGAGGACCTGGTGGTTGAGGCTTTTCAATAGCAGTAATTTCAATTTTGCTTTCTTCTTTGGTAGCATTTTTCCCAACACGCTCCAATGGTTGTAAGAAGTCATGTGTTTTAAGGTAGCCACCTGTTCATATTCAAGGAAAACAATAGAGGAAAGATTAAGACAGTCACTCTGATTTTCCAAATGCATAATTCTGAATATCACCCTGGCAAATAACAAGAGACAGGATTCTAAACCTGGGAATATATTATTTTCTTTTTTAATCGTTTGTATCATATCATTGGATATCGAGATATGTTCCGACCAAACGGATAGGAATAGTAGAAGTAAAAATACTCTTGCAAATAATGCAAATGGCAATATTTTTTTATAATAAATGCAGAATCTTCAAAATCATACAAGAAATAATCTCTTCCTATAAACATAACTTCGGATCTTCAGTCTGATTTAAGCTTAAAAGATTATTAGTAGTCATGTCAAATAATTCTTTGATCAATTTCAGTATTATTAGACGTTAAGACATATATTATATTATTATTCTGAGGAATAAATGCCAATATACAAAAATATTCTACCAAATTAGTCATTCTTGAACCTATTGATAGACCTAGGAAGCACGTCTTTACAAAAGCTTTTAAAGTTCCCCCAAAAAATGCTAATATGCAGGGTAACTTACAAAGATCAAAATACATGGGGTTTGTGGTATTTAGATTTCTTCATAGAAATAATTTTCAAATATTGGAATCTTAGTTTATTGGAATCTTAGTTCACAATAAATGGATAAAAGGCAGTTTAGTTTTTGAGTTTTATGTGTGTATGCATTGAAGAAGATGATGCAAAATAGCTTTGAGAATTAGAAATCTTCTGTGAACTTAGTACTTAACATATTTCATGGAAATAAATGAAGAATTTTTTATTGTACTAATTTCAGATTTAGCAAAAACCAATTTATACATTTGACCTCATTTATCTGCATACATGATTTGCACATTTATCTGCATCAAAGATTATATTTTAAAAATTATCTAAGAATGTGGTCTTCATTCTCACTCGAGGAATTTAGCGCTCATTTGGCCTCCATTATTCCATATTATAATGAAAGGAAAAATAATTTTTTTGAGAATGTATTGTTAAAAAAAAAAAAAGAAAAAAATTGAATTTACGTATAATATTACTTTATTGAAAAATGTTTGGTTGATAAAGAGAGAAAAAAAATTGAATTGTAATTTAATAGAAAATAACGAGAACCAAATGGTCGCTTAACTGGGTCAGACTAATTTTTCTAAACTAAGAATTTAGTCTTACCCTACCACAATCTGAATTTTTACTGGGTCCTACAAAATAATAGGCTGAATCAAATGCACAAAAAACCCAACTCAAGTTCTAATCCTTTTACAATTTGGACTGCACAATTGTCAGCCTATCACCACACTGCCCCACCTGAAGGACATGGCCCAGATTTATAAATGGGGGTCACGGGTACATTAACTGCGCCACTCGTGGGTGCCTTAGATATTTCCTCTTCCCCACCCCCCACAATGACCAACACCCACCCACCTCCCAAGTCCCAACACCCACATATTATATGTTCTAACAATTTAACACACGTACAAAGATTTATTTAAAGGTTGCGAAATCTAAGCCTTTTTTGATGATCGTTATTTTGAAAAAATGAAATTTTGAATAGTGATTTTTTTGGAGAATGAATGGTTAAAAATTAGAAAAAGTTTTGAATTTATGTGCAAAATATTTTATTGTATAAATGTGCGATTGAAAATAAATATGAGAATTAAAGAGTTTTGAAATAATAATGGTCAAACATGGGCTAAATCTTGAGGTCAAATCTTGAGGTCGCAGTTTAAATCGTGTCTTGGTAATATAATCTTTTGGTCACCGCTACGGTGTTTGGACGATGTAGGAAAGGAAGAAAGGAAAAAAAAAAAGAAAAGAGAACTAGAAAAACTTAAATACCTATAAGATCCAGTTCAATAAAGCAATTAAAAAAGTCCAACCAACTCCATCAAAAATCTCTCTCAAGTTGATTGATCATGCCTTAACGAATCACTAACAAAAATCAAATCGGTTTTCAAAACATTTTTTGTAACCCATAAGCAATATCGCCTCAATAAATCTTCGAAAGTGTCATAACTCATATAGAAACTTCTGTTTATGAAGGAAAGAATCTAATTACCCCCACTGAATTCATCGTTCTCACGAAATAATTCGGTGTAAAAAATACTAATAATATTTTGCATGAATTGAAATGATAATTTACCTTGCGGAGGTCGTGGATCTTGCTGGACAGGTGAATACAGTGACAGAAAATCATGTGTTGCCTTTCTACCTTTAATAACACATTGAATATACAACACATAATTAAATTTTCTAAAATTAATCAACCAGTTTTTTCGTATGGATAATTTGCAGAAATTGAATTCAAACGCCATGAATTTATGCTAGTTACCTTCGGTTCCTAAAGGTCTGGGCTGAGGCAGTTCCATATATATAGAAGTTCAATTCTGAATTTCTGATCGAATTGCAATAAATTGATGAAATATCTGAGCAGAATCAACTGAATTTGGCAAAATTCTTCTATCTTTTCGACTGCAGTTCAGATCCGCCTCCAATTTCACGATCGGAGGCGCATTTGAATCGAACAACTCACAACAATCCACGAAAATTTACGTCACTTCACTTCGTTGCAGCAAAATCCTTATAAATCACCTTCACTATCTTCTTCTCTTCCATTGAACTTCTTCAGCCGAATCTACAAACCGAAACTGAACTGAATTACGCGTAATCTCTTAGAAAACAACACAATTCTTCAATTATGGAGTACAACAAAGAAGATCTACGATAAAAAAAAAATCTCAGCACGGTGAATCTGAATTACCAGAAAATAATGAATAATTCAGCTGCAGATTCTTCAGAAAACACTTTCAAAGCGTAAGATAAAAGTGATCCAAACAGTGACTTTTGCAGATTGTTGGTAGGCCCAATTTGAATCAAATCAACAAAGTTCCCACTTCACAAACACCCACAACACTGGATTTTTTCTTTGACGGAATTGGAGAAGAATGAATTACTTCTCTCTCTCTACACCATTTTTTTTTCTCTCTTCTGAGTGAGCTTTGGTGAGAAATCTTTTATATACAGTTAGAGAAATGCTTCATCGTTTACGTTTAAGATGAAATTATTCGTTGCATTTTCCGTTTATTTGTTAACGGCGTTTGTTTACTGCCCTTGTACGGTTTAATTGAATATTTAAATAAATTTAATTTTTTATTGTTTTTGGTGATCCCGATTAATATTATTAATTTATTAAACTAAATCTTTTGGGAGCCAGAGCTAGATCAAGTTGTGTTGTGTTGTGTTGCCTTTGCATTTGCATTTGCACTTGCACTTGCAATTTTCTTTTCGATTTTATTGCAAGATGTGACATTTTTCATATATTTTTTTTCCTTTTTTAAAGGATAAGAAATTAAAGCAATATAGTCAATTACGTATTTATGAAGAATAAAAGAATTTCTTATAATTGTTCGGCTTTTGATTTGTTGATCGATGAGCAGTCTGCATCCACATCTCATGTTCTGATAACTCGCGACGTAGATTTCAAGTTATTGTATCACCTAATCATTATTGAGACACGTGAAAGATGGTATAATGACGTGCTAGAATTATGGAGAAGAACCAATTAAAAGAAAAAAAAGTATTTTTATTTTTTCTAGGATTAAAGAATTTCACCTCTCTTTCGAAAAACAAAAAAATATTTTCAATTAGATCGTGTTACAATAATTCGTATGCATATTAGATAATTCCATGATCAAATGCGACTAAACATTAAAGACGTGTTTTCGTGCATGCTATTAAACAATAAAAGGATATAATGAAAAATATTTTGTTTTATTTTTCACTTTTGTAATGTTATGTGTTGTCTAGTTCATTTTACTAAGAACGTATAGAATTATTATTACTTAATATATACTTAGAAAACGGTTTATTATAAATATTTGTCGCTTTTTTTTACATTGAATTGCACATAATAATTATCATATTTAATCACATGATAAAAATTTCACTCGGTTAAATATGAAAATAATAATTAACACTTCAAAATTTTAAGTTACTTATTAAGAATAAGGTAAACATTTCAAGATGAATCCGAACATTGTTACAAAGTCTTAAAGCTTAAACTGGCGGTTTAGTTCGTGCATGCTATTAAACAATAAAAGGATATAA